GCCCGCCAGCGCGCAGAGCAGCAGGGGCACCCGACGCGGCCCCCGAACCCCCCGCGTTTCCGTCGAAAAGCCGCGAGCCCGAGGATCGAGGGGCGCCGGAAGGCCTCCAGGCCCCTCGGAAGAAGGGGGAAGGGGGGGGACCTCCACCAACGGGGAGGGCCCCACCCTCGCCGACGCCCGACGGCGGTCGCGTTCGACGGGATGGTCGTCCCTCGCCCAACCGTCGCGTCCCTGTGGGGGCTCCATCGAGGACGCGCGTTTCGTTCGCGTTCGTCGTCCACTGGAGTGGTGGTCGGATGGATGTCGACGCCGCGAGGAATGATGATCGTGATGATCGTGATGATCATGACGATAATCACGATGATGGCGTGAATGGCGTGAATGGCGATGATGATGGTGATGATGTCTGCTACGACGACGATGACGATGCCGCGTGGAGGAGGCGGAGGAGCGATGGCGACGGCGAGGATGGTGGCGATGATGTCGACGGGAAACCGAACGGCGAGAGGAATCCCGTCGAGAGGAGGCCCCCTTCGACCGGTCGGAGAGATCACTCCCCTCAGTACTAAAACTAGAAGACGAACGGCTTCGCATCCGCTTCGCAAGCCGCCCTTCGGCATGGAATGAATCCGTCGGGGTGGGTGGGGGGATCGGAGATGGCGAGCCGGGCGGTAACTCCGGGGAACCCCCGTTCACGAGCCGCACCAACTCCTCCAGAGACGCAGGATCCACCATTTCGGTGGGATCCACCAAAGGACTCGCGGAGGAGGGCGCGGCGGCGGGGTGGAAGTCCTCCCCCCCTCTCGTCCTCTCCACCGGGCAAGCCCCTTCCTCCTCGGCTCGAGCGGTGCCCTCAAACTCCAGCTTAATAAGTCGACTGGGTTCCGCCCCGTCCTCGTCCTCCCGCGTGCGTTCAAAGGTGAGAAAGGTAAAGGCATCCTTGCCAAAGACCTCCGTCAGCCACCGCGCGCACCCCACCACCTCGGCAAAGGTGTGCACCACCACCAGAGCCCTGGGAAGCCCTTCCATAGGGTCGCACCCACCTCCTTCCTCCTCCTCCTCAGTTTTCACGTTTACCTGCTCAACCCCCTCAACATCCATTTCCTTTTCAGGCGGATCCAAAATCCCCTCGGAATGCACCCCATCGAGAAGCGCTCGCTCGGCGCGATACCCATCGCCGGAAAAGAGGGTGTTGCAGCCCACCGCGAGCAGCACGGCGCTCCGCCGCCCGGACTTTGGCGGGCCGATCAGGAGGGTGTGGTAGCCAAGCAGCAGCGAGGAGAGCGCGAACTGCTGGAGTGCGGGAAGCACCACGCGCGACGCCGCCGAGGGTGAACCCGGAGGGGATTCAACGTCCTCCCTAAAAACCCCACGCAGCGGATCGCCCGCCGTTGGATCGCCGAAGACCAGCGCCTGAAGCTCCGAAAGCCGCTGCCTGGGGGAGCCCTTGGAAAAAGATGGCGGGGCGCGAACCCGCAGGAGCCCCTCGGCGATGGAAGGCGGCAGCCCCAAATCCGCCACCCGCCAGAGCGTCGGCGGCGCCGCCGAAGACCCCTGCGCGACCGAGGAGGATCGGAAAAAAATGCCGTGGAAGCGCTCCATGAAGCGTCGCCGCAGCCCTGGCTTGGCGACCCAGCAGTCGGCAAGGGCGACGTCCGCGGCGGGCTGCCAGCCGGTGAACGACGACGACGCGGTGTTGCGCTCACCCCACTCCCCCTCCTCTTTCTTCTCTCCTTCTTCAGGCCCAGAGAACGAATCGTCGTCGTCGCTGGCTGTAAAGGAGGGCCCTTCCTCCCGACGGGGGGGCTCCCGCTGAGGGACGAGCCCCAACCGCCCTTCCGCCTCGATGACAAGCTCCAACAGCGACTTTTGCGGTGGAAGGGGCGGTGAGGTGTGGCCAGAGGCACGCACGAACTCCGGGAAGACGAGGTTCATGTCGATACGAAGACGCGAAATCGATTTCAGGCGATGGAAAGGAAAAAAAAAGTCGATGAGGTTCACGTGGTGGTGCCTCAAAAATCGACGCCTATGATGAAGCTTGGTTGAACCTTTTTTTTCTTATAAATAAAGGGGTATAAAAACCTATCGACTCAAAGAATTCACGAATAAAAAAGGACATATGAAAGTACACACACATAACATCTCGTGAAGTGCTCTGCCTAGATAAAGACGCAAATGAATGACCCAGGACAATTAGAAGATAGACTTGTAGAGTAAAATGACATACGTATTAATCCATATCTTCATCTCCTAGGCATAGGGAGTTCTAAACAAACTAAAGAAAATGTGGCCCTTTTCCATTCAACTTGAGCCCCATTACGCTAAATAATTTTGAGTTCCTAAGATAGTTTTGTGTGATTCCTAGTTTTTAATTTGCGGTCCACACTCCTCTTCAATAAAAGGTGTGGTATCGCCGTTTGTGCGAAGCAATGCTACAGAATATGGACTCCCGATTACCACAATTATGCATAAGCAAATAAGTAAAAATGTATACTTCAATGCATACATATATATATACATATAGATGTATGTTTCCTTTAGGGGAAGGTAACATACGCTAATATGTTTTCACTATCATAAAACATATACCTTTGCATGGATATATATTTATGAATGTTTTCTTATCTCTACTAACTGATCTCGCTTCGTTTTTTAAGTATAATTCAGTATTATATGCATAGAAGAAAAAAATAAGATTTGAAATCACCCGTGTAACGCTGCATTGATGCCCCATTAATGCATCCATAAAGTTTGGAAACTCAATAAAAAATTCTTCTCCATTTGCCTTTGCTCTATCGCTTCGTATTCAAGGCCGCCACAACACTTATTCAGGTGAACGCTGCAAATTGGGGTGCGTCTCTGTCGAGTGCAGGAGTGCACCATCATCGAGTGGAGTCTGGTGGCGGGTGCTAATTAAGCTCAATATGCCATCGCTAACCTTCGTGAGAGGTTCCTTGCTCAGACTGATCTCACCACGCTCAGGGGACTCGATTAGATCGAACAACAGTGGGGAGTCCTCGAACGGACCGTCATTAAACAATGCCGCCCGCAAAATGGTGTACGTGATGTCATCGTAGGGAACCTTCATCATGGTCATATCTCTAAGCACCTTGAGACACATGCCATGCGCGTGCTCGTGCTTTTCCCCACCAATCCTAAGGATATTCGCTATATCGTTGCACAGAGCCGTATCAAAGATCTGCTCTACGACGACTTTGATAGACAGCGTGCATTCGTCGATGCGTGCCTTGATCTGCGCGTACTCCTCCTTTTGTTGGTCGAGGAACTCCTGTTTGAAGGCAGTGAGGCCGCGCTTAAGGACATCTTTGATGTAATAACTAGCAAGCTCATGGCTCTTGAGCTCCTTATCCTTCAGGCGGATAGGGTACATAACCTCCTCATAAAAAGTCATGAGGCTTGTCATATCTTCCCACTGAGTCTCACGAAAACGCTTGAAAGCCCCTGGAAGGGCCTGGAGATTCGTAGGATCTCCATCATAGCGGGCCCCGACCTGCCTCTCCAACATACGAAAATCGACGTCGCTGGTGATCGAGTTGATAAGCGGAGCGTATCTGGTGCGCGCCAGATTAATCTCACCAAAGAGCGTCTGGCGCGGTGTCTCCATTTTATCAAGGATGGACAAGGGAACCTGAAAAAACTTTGCGAGATCCTCGCGAGAAGGAGGGCACCCCAACTTGAGTTCCGTCGTTGGCGGCGGTGGGCTGTCAACCACCGCGAGGGTGTGTACGCCACGGGCCAAGCTGGGGAGGACCCCCATGAGATACAGTGTCTCACGGTACGCGAGACGCATTTCCCTATCTGAATTTGCCTATAAAATAAATAATACGCCTGAGCTAAGAGAGTCGATTAGAATGAGACACAGTTCTGGGCTGACACAGAACTAGCTACCCTGAGGGAAATCACTTGAGAGTATATGGATGTGTGTTGACAGAAAAACTTAGGCTATTAAATAAAGAAATGTACGTGTATTACAAAGGCAAAAAAGAATACCACATGCAGTCCTTTCATTTTCACCCACTGTCACAGCCCGCGTCCCCTCAAACAGCCTCGCCCACACACACACACCTGTGGGACACGAAAATAGCGTTAGGACAACGTCTTTGTGTCAACGTGTGCTTTAATAGATACCTTTAAGCTATCATAATATATATATAC